TCCTTCTCATCTACATCAATGATCTACTGAATGCATCACAGCTACTCAAGCCCATATTATTTGCAGTTGACAAAACATATGTCTTCTCCCACTCAAACTCAGTCATACTAGCAAACACAGTCAATGTCGAATTGCAGAAAACATCTGCCTGGATGATGACTAATAAACTTACCCTGAATACTGATAAAACCTATTTCATTCAATTTGGAAACAAAGCTGCAAATGATCCACTAAACATAACGCTAAACGGATCATCAGTAACAAGACTTGCAGAGGGAAAATTCCTAGGTATCCACCTTAACAGTAGCCGTAAGTTCCAGACACATATACAACAAATCACCAAGAAAATCTCTAAGACTGTAGGCATACTATCAAAGATACAGTACTACGTTCCAAAATCAGCTCTCCTGGCACTGTACCATTCACTCATATACCCTTATCTTACATGTGGAATTTGTATATGGGGATCAACAACATTCAATCACCTAAGACCTCTAATAACCCAGCAAAAAGCAGCAGTCAAAATGATAAACTCCCACTCCCAACAGCATACTCCAGCAATTTTCAAGTCTAAATCTGCTCACCATTAAGAACATCCATACTTATTCATGTGCCTACTACATACACAGAACAATACACGCAAATATAAACCCTCCACTCAAACTTCCTGACAACTCTGTGACTGAAGAAATACTTCCTAACATCCCTGTGGTTCATCTGAGTCTTCAGCTTCCAACTGTGACCCCTTGTTGCTGTGTTCCATCTCTGGAACATCCTGTCTCTGTTCACCATGCCTATACCTCTCAGTATTTTATATGTCATTATCATATCCCCCCTAACTCTCCTGTCTTCCAGTGTCGTCAGGTCGATTTCCCTTAACCTCTCCTCGTAGGACATACCCCTAAGCTCCGGGACTAGCCTTGTTGCAAACCTTTGCACTTTCTCTAGTTTCCTTACATGCTTGGCTAGGTTAGGGTTCCAAACTGGCGCTGCATATTCCAATATGGGCCTAACGTACACAGTGTGTGTGTGTGTCGTGCCGAATAGGTAAAACTAGTTAATTTAAACCACACCATGGGTGGGGTTACATCCCGGGATCAAAGAGTCACAAAACTCCATTCCACCGTGGTATGGTTTGTTTGCAATCGTGTCATTACGATTTCGTGAGTCTAGTCAATTTGCAAGAACTCATTTAAAATTAAAGTTTTTTCTAAAATGTTTTCTTACACATTTAAAGATATATTTTTTTTCAACTATGGTTTCTTTTTCTGTCTCATAAACACGCTAGATAACAGGGATATCTTGCTACTCCTACTTACACTTTGGTCACACTTCACAGACATGCACATGCATATATATATACATACATCTAGGTTTTTCTCCTTTTTCTAAATAGCTCTTGTTCTTCTTTATTTCTTCTATTGTCCATGGGGAAGTGGAAAAGAATCTTTCCTCCGTAAGCCATGTGTGTCGTATGAGGCGACTAAAATGCCGGGAGCAATGGGCTAGTAACCCCTTCTCCTGTAGACATTTACTAAAAAAGAGAAGAAAAACTTCATAAAACTGGGATGCTTGAATGTGCGTGGATGCAGTGCAGATGACAAGAAACAGATGATTGCTGATGTTATGAATGAAAAGAAGTTGGATGTCCTGGCCCTAAGCGAAACAAAGCTGAAGGGGGTAGGGGAGTTTCGGTGGGGGGAAATAAATGGGATTAAATCTGGAGTATCTGAGAGAGTTAGAGCAAAGGAAGGGGTTGCAGTAATGTTGAAGGATCAGTTATGGAAGGAGAAAAGAGAATATGAATGTGTAAATTCAAGAATTATGTGGATTAAAGTAAAGGTTGGATGCGAAAAGTGGGTCATAATAAGCGTGTATGCACCTGGAGAAGAGAGGAATGTAGAGGAGAGAGAGAGATTTTGGGAGATGTTAAGTGAATGTATAGGAGCCTTTGAACCAAGTGAGAGAGTAATTGTGGTAGGGGACCTGAATGCTAAAGTAGGAGAAACTTTTAGAGAGGGTGTGGTAGGTAAGTTTGGGGTGCCAGGTGTAAATGATAATGGGAGCCCTTTGATTGAACTTTGTATAGAAAGGGGTTTAGTTAAAGGTAATACATATTTTAAGAAAAAGAGGATAAATAAGTATACAAGATATGATGTAGGGCGAAATGACAGTACAGTGGACCCCCGCTTAACGATCACCTCCCAATGAGACCAATTATGTAAGTGTATTTATGTAAGTGCATTTGTACATGTATGTTTGGGGGTCTGAAATGGACTAATCTACTTCACAATATTCCTTATGGGAACAAACTCGGTCAGTACTGGCACCTGAACATACTTCTGGAATGAAAAAATATCGTTAACCGGGGGTCCACTGTAGTTTGTTGGATTATGTATTGGTAGATAAAAGACTGTTGAGTAGACTTCAGGTTGTACATGTTTATAGAGGGGGCCACAGATATATCAGATCACTTTCTAGTTGTAGCTACACTGAGAGTAAAAGGTAGATGGGATACAAGGAGAATAGAAGCATCAGGGAAAATAGAGGTGAAGGTTTAGAAACTAAAAGAGGAGGCAGTTAGGGTATGATATAAACAGCTATTGGAGGATAGATGGGCTAATGAGAACATAGGAATGGGGTCGAAGAGGTATGGGGTAGGTTTAAAAATGCAGTGTTAAGAGTGTTCAGCAGAAGTTTGTGGTTACAGGAAAGTGGGTGCGGGAGGGAAGAGGAGCGATTGGTGGAATGATGATGTAAAGAGAGTAGTAAGGGAGAAAAAGTTAGCATATAAGAAGTTTTTACAAAGTAGAAGTGATGCAAGGAGGGAAGAGTATATGGAGAAAAAGAGAGAGGTTAAGAGAGTGGTGAAGCAATGTAAACAGAGAGCAAATGAGAGAGTGGGTGAGATGTTATCAACAAATTTTGTTGAAAATAAGAAAAAGTTTTGGAGTGAGATTAACAAGTTAAGGAAGCCTAGAGAACAAATGGATTTGTCAGTTAAAAATAGGAGAGGAGAGTTATTAAATGGAGAGTTAGAGGTATTGGGAAGATGGAGGGAATATTTTGGGGAATTGTTAAATGGTGGTGAAGATAGAGAAGCTGTGATTTCGTGTATAGGGCAAGGAGGAATAACATCTTGTAGGAGTGAGGAAGAGCCAGTTGTGAGTGTGGGGGAAGTTTGTGAGGCAGTAGGTATAATGAAAGGGGGTAAGGCAGCCGGGATTGATGGGATAAAGATAGAAATGTTAGAAGCAGTTGGGGATATAGTTTTGGAGTGGTTGGTGCAATTATTTAATAAATGTATGGAAGAGGGTAAGGTACCTAGGGATTGGCAGAGAGCATGCATAGTTCCTTTGTATAAAGGCAAAGGGGACAAAAGAGAGTGCAAAAATTATAGGGGGATAAGTCTGTTGAGTATACCTGGTAAAGTGTATGGTAGAGTTATTATTGAAAGAATTAAGAGTAAGACGGAGAATAGGATAGCAGATGAACAAGGAAGCTTTAGGAAAGGTAGGGGGTGTGTGGACCAGGTGTTTACAGTGAAACATATAAGTGAACAGTATTTAGATAAGGCTAAAGAGGTCTTTGTGGCATTTATGGATTTGGAAAAGGCGTATGACAGGGTGGATAGGGGGGCAATGTGGCAGATGTTGCAGGTGTATGGTGTAGGAGGTAGGTTACTGAAAGCAGTGAAGAGTTTTTACGAGGATAGTGAGGCTCAAGTTAGAGTATGTAGGAAAGAGGGAAATTATTTCCCAGTAAAAGTAGGCCTTAGACAAGGATGTGTGATGTCACCGTGGTTGTTTAATATATTTATAGATGGGGTTGTAAGAGAAGTAAATGCGAGGGTCTTGGCAAGAGGCGTGGATTAAAAGATAAAGAATCACACATAAAGTGGGAGTTGTCACAGTTGCTCTTTGCTGATGACACTGTGCTCTTGGGAGATTCTGAAGAGAAGTTGCAGAGATTGGTGGATGAATTTGGTAGGGTGTGCAAAAGAAGAAAATTAAAAGTGAATACAGGAAAGAGTAAGGTTATGAGGATAAAAAGATTAGGTGATGAAAGATTGGATATCAGATTGAAGGGAGAGAGTATGGAAGAGGTGAATGTATTCAGATATTTGGGAGTGGACGTGTCAGCGGATGGGTCTATGAAAGATGAGGTGAATCATAGAACTGATGAGGGGAAAAGGGTGAGTGGTGCACTTAGGAGTCTGTGGAGACAGAGAACTTTGTCTTTGGAGGCAAAGAGGGGAATGTATGAGAGTATAGTTTTACCAACGCTCTTATATGGGTGTGAAGGATGGGTGATGAATGTTGCAGCGAGGAGAAGGCTGGAGGCAGTGGAGATGTCATGTCTGAGGGCAATGTGTGATGTGAATATAATGCAGAAAATTCGTAGTTGCCCAGAGGGCTGAGGAAGGGTTGTTGAGGTGGTTCGGACATGTAGAGGGAATGGAGCGAAACAGAGTGACTTCGAGTGTATCAGTGTGTAGTGGAAGGAAGGCGGGGTAGGGGTCGGCCTAGGAAAGGTTGGAGGGAGGGGGTAAAGGAGGTTTTGTGTGCGAGGGGCTTGGACTTCCAGCAGGCATGCGTGAGCGTTTGATAGGAGTGAATGGAGACAAATGGTTTTTAATACTTGACGTGCTGTTGGAGTGTGAGCAAAGTAACATTTATGAAGAGATTCAGGGAAACCGGCAGGCCGGACTTGAGTCCTGGAGATGGGAAGTTCAGTGCTTGCACTCTGAAGGAGGGGTGTTAATGTTGCAGTTTAAAAACTGTAGTGTAAAGTACCCTTCTGGCAAGACAGTGATGGGGTGAATGATGGTGAAAGTTTTTCTTTTTCGGGCCACCCTGCCTTGGTGGGAATCGGCCAGTGTGTTAATAAAAAAAATAAAAATAACTAGTCTACACCTATCACCATACTCCAATTTTCGACATTTTACGATTCTAGTCTCCATTTTCCTTAAATTGGTTTACAACTGTTATTACACTTGCCTTTTTGCCACTTCCAGTTTGAATGGGAATACTTGTGAGCACAGATCCAGGAGTGGTGGAATCTGTGTCGGAGTATGAGGGCCCACTTCTACTGGGGTGCTGCAGCGGAACGTCTTCTACCTTGTCCTGGTTGTTTACTGCTGCTGATCCACAGCTGGTCACTGGCGTTAATGCATATGTTGACATTTTCTCCTTTTGAGTTTTTGGAAGATGTTTCTTCTCTAACTGTGTGTGTACCTGGTCGACATGACCAGAGAGGGAGTGTGAGAGCAGGTGGGGATACATATGGGAGACCACCTCATATGCATTCGTGCGTGATGATAAGCAGGGAATTACGTCGGGTGGCAAGGCCTGGGATCGGCTAAGGAAAGTTGGCAGCAATACCAGTGAGGCCGAACCACGGAGTGTCCCGCTGGGGGTGTCATCGGGGGAAAGTAGTGCAGTCACATCCCCGGACTGTACTAGCCGTCTCAGCTCCTCCAGTGAAGGAAGTCCAGTCCCTACACTGCCTCCCCGACCACCCACTGTCTCTGATGACTGGGACGTGGAGCCACGGCGGCTGCTGACGGTGGTGGTATTAGCATCTCTTAAGCTGGAGGAGTCACGTGGTGTCCATTCCAGATCCCTCATCAGGGCACCGCACACAACCATATTTAAGAATATACCTGCCAACATTATGAAACATAGTCTCCAACCCCAGTAGTCAACCAGATATTGGATTAGTGGTGCGAATAAGAATGTGCCAATGCCACTACCAGCCACAGCTATTCCTGTTGCTAGTGACCGCTTCTTTTCAAAATAAAAAGCAACAATGACAATAGCAGCAACGTAACATACTGCCAAGCCAAGGCCAGTAATAATGCCTACCGTCAGTAATAGCAATGGAATAGTATTTACAAAGGCACCAACAAAGAACCCAAAGCAGGCAACAAGAGCACCACAGATTGTTACAGTCCGACAACCATAGCGGTCAGTCAGGAGGGAGGCTAGCGGTCCAGCCAACAACGGTATTGCCATGAATAAACTTCCAACCCAGGATGTTAAGGATCTGCTTTCTTGAAAGTAGCTCAAGAGTTCAACAAAGATTACGCCAAAAGACATAGTGATACCATCAGCAATGCAGTGAACCATGAAAGATGCTGCTACTATTACCCAACCCCACCCTCCGTCAGGTGCTTGACGCTCAAATTCGGTCCCCTGTGAATTGGTCGAATCACTAGAGCTTGAGCCCAAACTGATGCTGCTAGAACCTGAAACTTGTCTCCGACGCCATTTTTTTGGTACTTGCAAGTTAGATGCAATTTCAGATGGTGAGGAATCCGGGACAAGTTTTGACCATAAACGAGATAACTGGTCTCCATGAGTTGGTGTGACGCTGCCTCCACAAGGCTTGTGTAGAGTTATATGACCATCCTCTGTTACTAGTGTGTCATGGAGTACGCGAGTGTCGTCGTCCTCATAAGGCGTGTCGAACTGAACATGAGCGCCAGTTGGAACTCTCGTCCCAGCCTTGAGACATCCGCTGGTTGGTGTGCAGGGGCTGCGGCCACCTATATCTTTAATGCTAGGGTCAGATGATAACCCAACACTGACTGCCAGACCAGCATTTGAAGTGGAATCTCCTCCACATGATGCAATAGGACTTAGCTCACTACATGCTGATACCTTCTTGAAGCCTGTCTCCCCACTTTTGTGAAAGTGGCAGTTAGTACCACTGCTACTGCTGCAACTGTTACTGGTGCTGGTGCTGCTACTGCTGCTGCCACCACCGAGGCTATTGCCAGAGTCACTGCCTCTGCTCGAGTCACACAAAGGCAGTGGGGAATAATCTGAAATACAAACCTTTTGCCTCCTCTCTGCTAAAGATAATTTTGATGACGTTGGCCTGCCAATATCCAGTCTACTTGAAGTTTGTTCCGTTTGCGTCACTTGGCTACTAAACACAACACCACTCGCTTTTAGATTTTCATCACTTCGTTTGTTTGTACAATACAATTTTTTCAGAGCGTGGTATTCATACCCATCACCCGAGCCACTTTCTATCACACTGGTCATTTTACCTGCTGCCAGTATATAGGAACACGCATCACATGCAGGTCCTGTCTGAGTGCTACTGTCCACAAAGCTCTTTTTCCACACACTTGAAGCATCATCCTCAGCAGGACTGGTTGGGTTAGTGCCACAGGTGCTCTCACGTGATGACAGACTGCTCTGTTCACAACTGCTGACTTTTTCGGAGTGGCCATCACCACACACCACACCACATTCCTCAGAATCATATGTTTCTGCACTACTCTCATTTGGGGTAAATATCCTTATGTGGCACTCGCTTTGACTTGAAATATTAAGTGGTACAGCGCCCTGCCCCTGATGCTGGCAAGGGAGTTCAGTGCTTCCGTCACTGACACTTGGGTTCAGCAATGCTTGATGCTCCCCGCTCTCATCTTGTGTGTAACTAGGAAGGCAGTCTTGGGTCAGAGAGGGAGGTTCTCCATCCTGATCTCCCATTCCGACCTCTCCTGACACACCGCCACTGTTATCACACCCACCACCACTATCTACACTCTGCCCACCCACCAACTGCCACCCATTCATTACTACTGATGACATGCTTTTGTATATATATATATATATATATATATATATATATATATATATATATATATATATATATATATATATATATATGCACAAGCCTTAAAAATTGAACACCGTTATTCTTTGTTAATATTAAGTCGATCTATCTTACTTTACTATTAGATCACAGTCAGGGATCCACACAGTTTAAAAATATCGAACAAGCTGAAAGTCACAACTAAAATCTTTTTAAAAGATTTATAAAGATCATATATTTTACTGGTGTTCCTGTGTGGCTGATAAACAGTGAGGGAGATAGGTTGGGAGGTGGTGGGAATGTTGGGTATCACAGTTGTGTGAGGGGTGGTGCTTATGCCCCCGATGGTGTCGCCCGAAGAGCAGGTGAATGTGGTGGAAGCGTTGCAGATGGGTGTGGTGCAGGCGTGGCAGACGAAGGGCACCCAGGCTTGAAGAAAGGCAGGTGCAATCCGTGCGACCAGCAGCACGATGCTCTCACATGCCCCGGGCCCAGCCATCACACTCAAACCTGTAGAAATAATCACTTTCAGTAACATCACTACTCAAGAAAGCGTCTAGAATAACATATAAATATAAATGGTAATACATATAAAGAAAACACAAAATTAAGCACACGTTGAATAGCCAGTTAATGCACTAGTTCAGGCAGTATCATTTGGGTTCAAGATTGCCTCTTGAATCTTCACCTTGTCAGTCTACACTGATTGAATGTTCCTGTTAGTTTATCTTGATGACGTTATAGCCGTGGGAAAGACTTCCCCTTTCATATTCCACAGCTGACACCAATACTGGGGTATGTTAATAGTAGATTTGAGATAAATAGCTAAACGTCTGAGTTTATTGCCCAAAAATATACAGTAAATGGGTAAGCCACAGTCCATTCCAGGTGCCAGAGCACAGACATCATGGGCAGCTGCTTCTTGAAGGACATCAGGTGTAGGAGGTGAACAAGAGAGAATACCAGTGAGGTGCCAGCAAGGAGACCTATAGTAATGCTGTATAGTAACAGTACAAGGAAATTATGCTGAGGGGAGAACTTACGCCAGAATCTGTACCCCCCAGGCGCTGTATAATCCTCCGGGTTTAGCGCTTCCCCCTTGATTATAATAATAATAATAATGTAGCCCAACATCCTTAAGGAAGGGAAAGGTGTTGACTGAAACTAGCAACTTGGGTAACAGTAATCAGAATCGTCCAAGATATAAAGCTGAGAAGGGCACCAGGAATCTATCCTAGAAGTTCCATCAAGACTGCATAAACATAATAAAATAAATTTTTATGTTATAACGATACCTACAACAAGTTAACGCAAAACTGAGTACACAGAGACAACGCAATAAGTGTCAGGGCGGCCAAGACTGTTCAACTGCCTCCTAGCACACCAATAGACCCCCTGGTTGTCTTCAAGAGGGAGCTGAATAGCCACCTAAAGTCAGTACCTGATCAGCCGGGCTGATCAGGTACTAATCAGGTACTGATCAGCCCGGGCTGATCAGGTACTGATCAGTAACAGCCTGTTTGATCAAACCCTGATCCACCACGAGGTCTGGTCTCAGATCGGCCCGCGGGGGCGTTGACCCCCGAAACCCTCTCCAGGTAACAAAAATGTTTTAGATGATTATAGAGGATCAGGTGAAACAGTTGATTTTAGTGCAGAGGCAAAATAAGACATTGCTAATTACTTTTTAGGGAAGAAATAAAAATAATAAAAACTTCAGAACTTTATTGTAAATATAATACAATGTCTTATTTTGTCTTTTCACTAAAACCAACAAGACATTGTATTATCTTCACCAAAAACTTCTGAAGCTTTTATTATTTTTATTTCTTCCCTAAAAAGTAATTAGCAATGTCTTATTTTGCCTCTGCACTAAAATTAATTTGGCTTCACCTGATCCTCCACACTCATCCAAAACACTATTATCAGTTTTGCGTAAACGTGCCGTAAGTGGAGCATACCTGGAGAGAATTTCGGGGGTCAACGCCCCCCGCGGCCCTATCTGTGACCCGGCCTCATGGTGGATCAGGGCCTGATCAACCAGGCTGTTACTACTGGCCGCACGTAAACCGACGTATGAACCACAGCCTGGCTGATCAGTTACTAACTCTAGGTGCCTGTTCAGCTCCCCCTTGAAGAGAGCCAGGGGTCTATTGGTAATTCCCCTTATGTATGTTGGGAGGCAGCTGAACAGTCTTGGCCCCCTGACACTTATTGTGTTGTCTCTTATCGTGTCATAACCATTTGTTGCTAAGTCATTACCATTTTTTATTATTTATTTCCATTATACATTCTTCATAGAACTTCTATGATACGATCCTCGTATCATAGAAGTTCTGTGAAATCAAACATCAAACTATTTTGACTATTATTATCCAAGTTAATAGTTACAACCTCCGCTCCCTCTTGTATTGAGCTATAGTTCGGTAGTAGTTCAATACCTTTAAAAGGACCAGGAGATGTAGCTCACCACATTTAAACATGACCTTTTCCTGGAAGTAATGTTCATGTAAATATAATGTGACATGCTGCCAGAGGACCAAGTTATGGCTTCCAGGTGTTGTAAATCTTGCGGTCATGGAGTGCAAATCTTGAAACTGATCTTAATGCAACTTGCCGCACTTATTTCCCTCGGCCAGACCATATCCTTCATACTCACACTTGTCAACTTGAAAAAAAAAAATAAGTCTGCGTTTCGAAATTCTTCAGTGGGTCTACCTACCTACCTACCTGGGGGAGTTCCGGGGGTCAACGCCCCCGCCACAAAGTCCTTGACTAGGGTGTATGATCGTATTTAATATCTCAAAAATAGCTAAGCTAAAATACATAAGAAGTTATGTAGCAAAGCCTACCTACCTGGGGGAGTTCCGGGGGTCAACGCCCCCGCCACAAAGTCCTTGACTAGGGTGTATGATCGTATTTAATATCTCAAAAATAGCTAAGCTAAAATACATAAGAAGTTATGTAGCAAAGCCTTGATGCAATATTTTTTACAAGTTTAGCGTTTTACATGTACAAAATATGAAAGGCTGATAATATTGAAAATGCGAATACAAGTATTAAGATATATTACACAATGACTTTTGTAGAGGAAGCAAATTACTCTAAATTTTTACAGGAAATATAAAAAAAAAACGAAAATAAATCCCAAAACTTATTATTATTATTTACATTAACTTTGAGAGTCAAGTCTACAGTCTACCAGTGCAGGTGTTGTTCAGTCTATCAGTGCAGGCGTTTTCAATCAATGCAGTTGTTCAGTCTATCAGTGCAGATGTTTTTCACATTCTGAAGTTCTTATCCATAATTCGTTGTGTTATCCGCCGTAAATGTCAGTAAATTTAAGCGAAAAGAAAAATATCTTCAACATTTATTCCGGGAAATGCTGAGTTCTTAGACAAGTATCAGTTGGGGTGAGTAGCGCCCTCCCAGAGCAGGGACACCAATCCCTAGGCACAAAGCACTCCTTCACCCTGTTAAAACAAAAAGTCACAATACCGTGACTGGAACAATACACAAATAACCCGCACATAGAAGAGAGAAGCTTATGACGACGTTTCGATCCGACCTGGACCATTGATTAGTCATACTAGTCATAATCTTCTTTCTCCTATGTGTTAAGGTGACGCAGCGTCGAGGGAGAGATCTATAATGTCAGATTTGAGAACCAGGGAACAGCCTGTACACATCCAGCTAGGTAAACACAGCTGGACACTCATACCACATAGTTCCGTTATGTTGAAATGGTATGAAATACCAACAAGTTAATGATTAAAACACATGTGCAAGAGTTAGGTATATAATGTTGAAACGTTTCACCTACACAGTAGGCTTTTTCAGTCAAATACAGAGGCAGCAGGTATAGTACAGTAAAATGAAGATGTAATCATCTATCAACCTTGGAGAAATAGTATTTGAGGTGATCAGTTCAGCTCCATGGAGCTGAACTCTTCTCCAGGTTGAGGGACTGACCACCTCAAATACTATTTCTCCAAGGCTGATGGACCTCTGATTACACCATCTTCATTTCACTACCTGATGCCTCCGTATTTGACTGTAGGCGAAACATTTTAACAATAAAGATACCTAACTGCTGCACATGTGTGTTAATCGTGACCACAGAGTTCCGCTGGTAGGCTAGCGGTCGTTACGGAGTGAATCACCTTGTTGGCAAGGGCCCCCCACCCACCTTCAGTTGTGTTCCCAGACACAGGGTGTAAGGACACCACTGAATGAATCATATGAAAAAGACTGGTGTAGAGTGATCTTGCCTGTAGCATAAAGCAACAACACCAGCACCACACTCGAGCAACACTCACCTCTGGCACACACTCAAGTGCTACACAGGAAGGTGACATTGTGGCTACACCCTCAGTAAGAATAATCCTCAGCAAGCCATACTTTTGGCACCTTTATCTGTAAATACCCTCCAGCAACTCCTCATTTACAACGCCACAAAACTCTGTGGTTGACAGTAAATGTGGAGCTGATGATCACAGGGTCCAAGCACTCGCGGAGGGGAAGGGGGTCCAGGTACTCGCCGAGAGGGAAAAAAGTACTCGCTGAGAGGAATAGCCAAGCACTCGCTTGGTAATGGGGCATAGTACTCACTGAGGGGAGGGTGCCAGGCACTCACTGAGGGGGAGGGGAAGTCGCTTCCTCTCGAAGACTGCCAAGATGTGTCCGAGGTGTTCCAGGATGTCACAGTGTTCCAGGATCTATGAAGATCTGTGTTCCAGGATGTATGCAAGGCTATCACAGTGTTTCAGGATGTGTGAAAGGATGTCACAGTGTTCCAGGATGTGTACGAGGATGTCACGGTGTTCCAGGATGTGTGTGAGGATGTCACGGTGTTCCAGGATGTGTGTGAGGATGTCACGGTGTTCCAGGATGTAAGTGAGGAAGTCATGGTGTCTAAGGACAACCTGGATGAGGAAGAGGAGGAAGCTGACACTAAACATTGATAAGAACAATAACAAGAGTGCCCCAGACGCTAGGAATCAGTGACGCCACTGCCGAGTAACAAAGACGGGACGAGACTCGCCCCTACAACCGCAATTAGCAAGGCATGTACAACACACAAACAATGGCAAACTGCCCGGCCCTAGCACGCTCAAAACAAGTGCCAAGTTCCCACCCCACCTGTTGGCACTGTTGTCACATGCTCAGCTTCCATGTTTACTCTCCCCATGGTCACCTGTGAGTGGGAAGGAGACATTCTTGGGATCATTAAGACAGGAAGGTTAATAACCCTGGCCAACAGCCACGTAAACAATAAATAAGAGCCAAGCAATGTGACTTACATCTGCAACGTCATTCTTTATTCAACACCTGCATCTACATGTGGATCACTAGTACAACACCTGCACCTACATGTGGATCACTAGTACAACACCTGCACCTACATGTGGATCACTAGTACAACACCTGCATCTACATGTGGATCACTAGTACAACACCTGCACTTACATGTGGCTCACAAGTACAACACCTGCACCTACATGTGGCTC